CTCCCGATCAAGTTAACTCGAAGGAAATGATTCCCCGAAACAGTCCCTTCACGTCATGAAAACAGCATCGACTCAATATTTACACCGAAAACGGAATCGGATCGATCCAAATCGCGATACGATTCGGTGGCACGCGTTTTTTCTTTTTTTTGTTCTCCTTTACGCTCCGTAAATTTATAATTAATTCATCCGAGCATCACTAACGGCAGAGATCGATGTTGAAAGTGGTGATGGCAAGTGTAAATGCTGAATTAAACATCTGGTATCACATGTAGTTACATAATGCATGAGGATATGACAACGTAATTCACTGAACAGATCCCGATGCGAAAAAGTGATGAGAAGACCGAGATGCGTCTGACGATTTGGGATAATACAATGTTTATTTATCCCTGCGTTGTTTTTCCTTTTCCTTCTCTTGGCTGTGTTTTCTTTTCAATTACTGTGACGACGTCGGGGGAAGTCCCTCAGGGTTATCTACTCTCACCTGAATACGTCTGGAGATGACCGAACAATGGCCCAGCCGTAAATAAAAGGTCTGCGGCGAACTGTAAGCTTGGTCAACTGTGTTCTCGAGATACATCTCTAATCCAAGACCTCGGCACTCCGACTGCGGTCTTGTTATGTCTACTTTCAACGCCTCTTGCCACCGACACCGTCACGTGTTGACAAATTACCCTACTTGTAAAATACACGAGGGAAATGAATACGTTCAACTTTAATAATGTACGAGCGCATACGCCGCATATTTGATATAGCCGAGACACGAATTCCATCAAGAATTACATTTTTCGCAAAACCTTTCAAGTGCATTTTCCTGCGGAGAGGCTGAACGTAATTTTTTTGGCGGCTTCGCGGCGCCACAGGCTGATTCTTGCGACTACAATCGTAGAGAGGCGCAAAAACGCCAATTAATTAAAACAGACTTTATACACAATTATACACCTAATTATGAGAGTTTTGAGTGTACTTTTCCATTAATCTCGGAGAGAGATCGCGGAGTTTCCGAAAACTTCATTAAAACTTAACGACTCCTCAAAACTTCCATTTTTCGAACGTAACTGCCGGAAAAATGCACCTACATTTACAACGCCTTTAATGATTTATCACTTCGAGTTTAATGAAGATTCGTATCAGCCTTTGTTTAATTAAATTAGTCCAGGGTTGGCAGCTGTACAATAACATCTTCTGTTTGTTAATTACGTCGAATAACGGTCAGGACCGGTTTAGAGCATTAAATATTCAAACGGTAGTCTCGACTGGACTTTACCCAACGACGTTTATGACTAATTTTGTAATTGAGGTTATGGCAAATAAAGATGGCGCGGTCCAACTAACTAATCCCCACACTTCGAGAACACCAATTAAGCAAACCTCACTTTCAACTGCGTTTTATTATTTCAGACAGGAGGTTCCATACTAAATCATTCCCTTCCGGAGAAGAAAAAATACGAGATAAAAGCACTCCCTGTCGCCAAAGCGGTGGCTCTCCGTCCTATATCTTGCTTCGAATTATTCGAAGATACATGTTTCGAGAACACTCTTTGAGCTCTTGTCGGATTCAACAGCTTGCCTAACTTCGCCCACATGACAGAAATTTTGATGTGTCACACAAAAAACCGGAATTTCGGACGTCTCAGGGCTTCAGCGACGGCAACCGTTGGGGTCTCCGAATAAGAGACCCTATTTCACAACGAATTTAGACCCACGACTTTTTCATCTTAATAATGAAAACTCGCTTTTAATCAAAATGATCGAACATTTGAAAAAAGAATTCTCGCAGCCTGCTACTAACATAGGCACTTTAATTATTAAAATTAATTGAATTGCTCGCTCCGAGAAACATCAAATGGAGAAAATTCGCACAATTATAATTAATTTAGTTATCCCTTCTTCAGAACATGTTAATTGTGGCTGCTTCGAGGTTTGGACCTAAATAACCAAGTTTGGAAAATTAATAACGTTATGGTTATACTAACAGGGCAATTAGCAATAACGAACAGTTTTAATGGCGCGTTTAAAGACATTTCGGTCAATGATTTAAATAACGGCGGATTGGTAGGCAACCAGTAATCACCCTGGGGAAATTACTGCAACAAATCCTGCAACGCTGCAACATTTTTGACACGCAAAATAACATAGCAGGTGCAATGTGCCTTCCATAGTTCTCTCGGCGGGAATGTTGCAATTTCATCCGTGGAAATCCTAAAAATGCATCGATATACTGCAATAAATCAATTCTACGCCTTTCCCAGCTTTTCCATCCGTTATCTGATATGACGTCAAGTTATAAAAACATTACTTCCTGTTCAATACTACGAACATAAAAGTGTCCATAAATATGAAAATAAAAACGCTCTGAACATTCTGCGTCCTTTCTACGCAATAAAAAATGTGTCCAAGGCGTCTGAAAAAGTGCACCGCTCTCGAAAAAATACACCTTTTTAAAATTAATGTTGGTTCAATTTATACATCCTCCATGTGGTCTTTTCCGTTTGCAAACTCTGTACTATCCTTGAAACCTTGTGATCGAAAATTCCGTGTATCTTGTATCAAATTCTCATGTATATTGAAAATTCTCTTTAGCACTGTGAAAAGTGGGTTTTAAATAAATTTACTCGTGAACAGAGAATTAGAATCTCGTCCCTACCACGTGGCGTCCATATGATCTAACAATAAACAACTCCTTTCTCATTTTTGGAGTTTCATTCATTATCTCTGCCTGTGTATTTCGAAAGTCGCCTAAGAAGCTACACCAAATTTGTCAGTTAACCCGTAATTTCATCTTCTTTCGTTCGTCTTTAGCAGCAGCGTCAGTAACACCCCACGACTGCCAATAAATGGAGTATTTCCTCAAAAATGCGCAAAGTTAGCTTCACGACGTTGTCAGGTGTGGAATATCATCCTCCTATGCAAAGCGGGCGTTTAAAATCCTTTCGCGATGATGGACAAACCATAAATAAACGTCATGTGGCAACGACCGTTTTATGAGGCTGTTTGGAGAGCGATGCAAAAAGAGCAATGTATCACGGCATTGTTGTGGAAAAGCTTTCAAACGGACCGGAAAACATCTTGCATGCGAAATTACCACCACCACCGAAGCGGCATTTTGTTTAATGGGGGAAATACAAAGGGTTCGATCTGATCGACCATGACGTACTTCCTCGTTGACAATTCCAGGTTATAATTAATTTGGAAAGCTGGGTGAAAGCTTTGCATCGGTGCAGATGTTCCGGACGATTCTCGAGCATCTGTTGCCGCTCTAAAATATTCCGGAGTTTTCAGGTGTTGCATTTACATCTTCGAGCGTCATTAGGGGGATCTCTCGTGTTAAACAGGCGGATGATATTAAAAATTTTGGTCATATCAATTTCGTGTTGATAAAAATACGCGTTTTTTACGTCTGATTCCACGGCGTCGATTTTCATCTAAAAAAAAGGTGGGGGTGGAGGTGATATCGCAAACGAGCTTTCAGTCGGTCCCGGAGCTAGGTTATCATTAATCATTTTGAGTAGGAACGACCCCGCGACATCATTAGTAAACAATACGATCTGTATCTAGATAAAAACAGTTAAAACATTAATTAACTCATTGTTTTGATGGCGTCCCAGTTTTGTTGTCAATCGGAGACTCTGACGGGGATTTTCGCGGACGGTTGGACGGCAATTAGAGTTAAACCTTTGGAAAAAACGCTGCTAATTAAGACACATGAATACCTGAGTCTTAACGGTCCCTCTCATTAAGCAGAAGCACTCAAGCTATTAAATTAATCATGCCTCCGGCCGTAAAATATGCAGGAGCAATAAGTATCTTAAGTTGAGACGTAACGGTCTGACCTGACCGTCTTGATGAATCCCACCGACTGCGCCATAGTAACGAGACTGCTCTCACGTCATGTCGTTGAATGATTCGTCACTCGCAAACGCCTCCATCATTGAAACGAGTACGAAATAAAACACAACAGCGACAGTTGCTGCAAATTGAATTCGACGAGGAGTAGCCAATAAAAGCGAGCGGGTTCATCATGCTTGTAAATGCCGATAGTTTAGAGCTGAAAAAATATTTGCCAAATCGCTCGTATCCTTTAAGGTAAACGTTAAACCCCTACGCGTTCGGAATTCGATGGCACGCTTTCCATGCGATAAATATGTAGCACGTTCGTGATGTAATGTATAAAAGTTGTCCGAAGGATCGGGACAATTGTTTAGTATTTTGGTACCGAGCAACCCTTCTAATATATCCGTCACGTTAACCACGCCGCATACAAAACACACATAACGCAACAACCATGAATATTCTACAATGAGCTTTGCTAATATTTGCCCGAATTAGAACGGCACGCATGTCGGCGAGCACGGCAAAGTGAAAACCAATGTTAATCTTAAACAGATTTTTTCCCACACCTCTTCGAGCAGGTAACGGAAAACCAATTTCGGTAAAGCTCGTTTGGGAATTTTAATTTCGTTATTGTCGGAGCTTTACTTTTTCACGAGCGAATCCTTGACCGGTTTCACTGTCATCCCAGTTGTCGGATACGTAATTTATTATGAAAGAGCTCCTCCCCCGCTCGATAGCAATAATAATAACAACTTCGCTATTGTTGGAATAATTGAATTAACTTTCTCGTTCCAGATTTAATTTATTCACCCTGAAAAATCTCAAAAGGAAACTCGCGCCGAACAAAGCTTACAAATAAATCCTGCGTACCTTTTAATAACGAGAACCGAAGCGAATATCGAATAATATAGACACTTCTGATTCGGATAAGTAAACACCTACTCAGAAAACGCTTCCCTTTGTAAACTCCCCCCCTCTCATCCCCCCGAAGAACGGAAATATGGATTATCTCGAATTTGCTTCTGCCTTCGATGCTTTGTTTCAAAAAGAAACTCATCCGATACGTAAAAATAGATTCGCCTGTCCGCTGCTCCTTTTACCGTCTGTTTACAGCAATAAATTCGAAGGGATGTTCATTTTTTCCCTCTTTTTGTGCTTTTCAGGAGCAAGGTGGCGGCAGCGCTGCTCAACAAACACCTGCAAATCAACGGTATTTCGGCAGGACTCACGTCGCTCCGGCAATCTGTAGACGGTGGACTCGCTACGGAAAAAACGCCCGATCCGGGAACAAGTAGTAAGATGAAACGCGAAAGGAAAGCCGCCAGGACGCTGGGCATCATCGTGTCGGCCTTCCTGGCATGCTGGCTTCCGTTTTTTCTGTGGTACGTTTTAAAAGTTTCCCAAAAAAGTACGTCTCGAGCTTAAAGCTCGCGGGAGGGTCGAGAGAGGTGACCGAAATGAATAACTCTTTCGTTTGATTCCGCCTTTTTCAGAAGCGATTCATCAGACTATTTCTTTAAAAGTTGCGAATTAAAATTGCTAATCCATTAATCTTTACAAAGTAATTATTCTTCCAATCTCTTATCCCGGACGAAAATGAGCAAATCCCAAAGTCGAAGATTTCACTTATCGCCGTTCTGTGCAAACTTCTTTAGACACGTAAAACTCTCCCTCGCTGATAATGCAATTACCTCTAATGTCGGCAACGTGCATAACAAGATTGGATTACACGCGCGAGTTAGACTCATCATACCACACTTGCGCCAGACAAAATTCCCGACTTCTTACGTAACTTTTCCCCGTTAATAGTGAACCGGCGCTAGATCGAATCCTGCCGACTGCGCCAAACGTTAATATTCCCGTCGGCGTACTTTGTGTTCGCGCGTGTGTTTATTTAAAACGTAGGTGTTGTGTTTAATAATTAGTTGTTTCGCCTCCAGGTACGTGATAACGTCTCTGTGCGGTTCCAAGCGCTGCTACAGTCCCCCGTCGGTAATCACCCTAGTTTTCTGGATCGGCTACTTCAACTCGGCATTGAATCCGCTAATCTACGCCTACTTCAATCGGGAATTCCGGGTGGCTTTCAAGAAAACCTTGCAGAGCTGCTGTCAAGTCGGCTCGAAGCTGGTGTGTTGGAAGTGGAGGTCAAGGGGCGATCATCAGGTGAACTACAGCAACGCGTCGAGCGAGATGCACGTTAACAACCACCTAAGGGCCGATCTGAGGGCGGAAGGGATGGCGCAGAGATTCAGCTACAACATTTCCGAGGGCGAAATTATTAATTTACAGAGTGAGGAAGCGATCTAAAGTTTTCTTCTTCGTTGTTGTTTCTTTGACATATCAAAGGAGTATCAGGTGCACGGACGGTTGAGGGTCAAGTTTTTTTTCGTTCGTTCGAACGGTGTGGTTGTGGCAGACGTGCTCTCATTCAATTTTCAATCATTCGAGCTCAGCCCGTCGGTGCACTTCTTCCAGGGAACCAGTCAATAAATCGATAACACGAGACTATCATCTTCAGTATACGATCATTCATACTTGATGCTAATAGAATCTGGGTTATTCATTAGTTTCAACTAGCGAACGTGATGAGCGCGATTCGTTGTCGTCTCGGACAAGAAGATGACATTATAGTTAATAAAAACAACCCTTGCGTTCTTATTAACAACTCGAATTGTTTTGAAATCCAATCTCCGATTTGAGCCGGCTTTCTGTTAAAGCGAAACAAAGCAGCCAAGAAGCCCGTAATACGATATTAAGTACTTCGACATAACACAATTAAGACTCTCTTACAGTTGTTTACGATTCGCGAGTTCCCATTTCCCCTTCACAAATTACAATTTTTCCAAGAGACAACTCTACAAAGGGGTATCGCCGACAAACGAAACGGTTGTGATCATTGGTGCTTAAAAATTCCGTTTAAATACGAGCCCCTGATAAAAACACCCGTTTCTATAATTCAAATTAACATCAACATTATCGCGAAAATTCCCACCTCTCTTATCAACGTCAAGTTTCACCACGACTCCTCGGCAACCTCGGAAGAGGCTTAATTTAAATTTTTGCCGCATGGATGTGCTGAACGTAATTTATGAGGCATCCCAACTATGAAAATAAAAAATGTGGTCCCTTGTCGCTAGTTCCCGAGTCTCGGGGGTGCGGAACAGTAAGTGCTGCTTCAAACCGGGATACATTAAGCAGTCTATTTTACCGAGCGAGTTGTTACACTCATAATGGCTATATTAGCATACCAAAAGCACGTGGAGGTCGGGCACGGACGCACAGAAAACACGCTCGAGCTTACAACAACATCGCGACGGCACAATTAAAAACGAAGAAAGAGGCTTGACGCACGGACGTCGGTTTTTCGAGTTGGAAACACAAGAGCGAAGCTCGAGGGATACGTGCACTTCTAATTACACGTACGTTCTAACCATGCTAACAAATATTTGTAGTTCGGTTGCAACTCGACACTTTTCGCTGAATGCAGTTCCACAGCAGAAATAAAAATGAAGGGAAACGTTCGCGTAAATCTGTCTTTTCTCGCTTGACAATACTGAGGTGGCAACATTTGAGACCGCTGAAACAGCGCACGTTGACGTTGCTCTGTCAGCAAAAATGGTTCAATGGGGCAAAGTTTTCGATTTCTTAAAGGATCGTTTTGTTTTAGAAATAATACGAAAATATTATTTCCAACAAAGTGGGAAGGGTCACATGAGTCATGAAGAATAAAGAATTTCAAAAAGAAAAGAAAAATTAAAGTGATCGTCAACGGATCAACTTTACAAGTTACGAACTTCTCGCCCCCTTCAATCCACTAATAAGAAAAATTATAATTTTCGGCTCACGTAAGCCCGTCAATCAACCTTCTCCAATCAATTAAGCTTATGTAGCATCAAGCGCACCTTCGTCACGGTTGATTTGAACATACGTCGTACGCGCAAACTTAATTTACCAGCCGCTGTTCGTTGCACTTGAATGAAAATGTCGATTGTTGTAGTTCGAGGGTCAGGTCACGCGTGACAAAATATCGGGCTCAAGGTGCAGAGTAGCATGCGAACATCATTATGGGCTTTACGTTATGATTTAGTATCTTAATACCTGTCCGAGCAGTTTCCTGAAAAGCTTCTCTCCTCGGAAAGTTCCTACGTGCTCGAATTAATATTTTAATCGAGAAATAGAACATCGATGGTTGTTCGTCTCGAGCAATTATAGAAAAATTGATGGCGTGACTGAAATCGTTAGAAACGTTCGAATCAATCCTGTTTAATTATTTATAAGGCCACGGTTTTGCCGACAATTGAAACTAATAAATAACCCATTCATGTAATATACTATATTTAGATTAGGTACTTGAATCGAAGTTGCGGCACGTTTCGGTTATGTCGTCGTCATCATCAGCTTCTGTAAAGATCAACCTGTAGGTGTTTCTAGGGAAAAACCGACCAAGACGAGAACAATCCATTAATTAGACGTAATTAAGTAAAACTCCAATCATTGTTGTATGATAAACCCTTAAATGTAACACCAAGTGTATAGAATGTAACTATGTACAATCAAACCGTGTGTCTCAAAAGCGACGCGCTGACCAGCGCCACATTTTCAGACACGCTTAAATGTTGTTTATTTCGTTTAATGGACGAGACAAAATGGCGCCACCGCCGCCATCTTGTCGCCAAGATCTTTATATCATTCGACGTCCATATAGACACTACTGTATCGATTTAAATGTACCAATAACAATGATAATAATGTCGTTTCTCCAACTCTGAAAAACCTATTTTGTAACTACAAATTTGTGATACAATGGAGCAATCGCATGCATTTCAAAGAAAAAAGAAACTCAACTTTACCATGAGACATATTGTGTACGATTTACTTTTTATTGCCAAATGGATTTATGTCGAGAATGTATTTATTTTCAAATAAACGTTGTAAAAGTTAAAATCGATATCGTTATTATGAGGGCTCCCACCGCACCACCGCAATTAAAATTAATTGCGGACACTTCGCTGCCCCGCAAACAAAATTTTTTGCTTGGGAACATGTCTTGTCGAATTTTGAATAACAGCTTTTATCGGCTTTGTTAAAATTACAACGGTGAAAATTGCGGTGACCTGTAGCACGACGTGAGAGGCATTAAATACAAAAATCTACTCGGGCGAAGTGTGTGAAGTGCATGTTGTAGGTCGCAATGGCTTTCACCATCGGTTACAATGACAAATTCGTCCAAACGCCAGCTTTTATTAACTACGTGGATTGGCTGTTTTAGCGGTACTGCTCCTGGTTGTGCTTTTCTTATTTGACAACGATGCGTTGTCGAAATTTGACACCGCTGAGTCTGCGAAATTTGTGTGCATTCCATATAAAACGGTTGTCCATTTTCTTGGGCGACCAAGATTCCTTGTGCTCGTGCTGTTCTGATTTTGAGAAAGCGTCCGATCCTGAGTGAAAAATGATTCACTTTTTACTCTCGCCTCGACAAAATCGTGGTGTTTCATAAGACTTGATCGAAAAAATTGTGTCCATTTGTATCATAAAACGTCCCGACTAAATCGGCTTATTCTCAAAGTGTTAAAAATCTTTCGAAACACGGCAGATTTCATAGAATCGTGCGGTTGCACGCACCATCCTCAATCAGAATAAATTAGTTCCACAACTCAATCGATACTACATATTGCTCGTAGGTAAAGTGTTTGGGAATTTCTCAAATAGTTGAAAACTGAATTACCCAGTAATTTAATAGCTACTACAGATCTTCGTAACATGATTTGCTTAATAAGTTTACGTAGCATTTAACTCGATTATTGGAAAACTTCCTCATTTATTTCGGAAATTCTTGTTTTGTGCGACGATTGCTTACTTCTCCCTATAGTTCGATTCCATTCTGTTGGTTATTAAATTCCACCGAGAATTATACGATCAAATATCTACCAGATCGTCATGACCTGAAATTGAACATCAACTGAAAAATCGTCTGTGAGTGCACGTCGACTGTTTATTTTGTCTGTAGCTGCACGGACACAGCGCGAGCAAACTGTTTATACTTAAATCACGGCGAGATCTAAGTTAATGGATCCAGTCGGCCATGCTTTAAGCCATGCTTCGATTCGGTGCTTCCCCTAATTTATAGACGGACTTCAGGTGGAGGAATATATTTGTAATAATAGTTAGGTAGAAGCAGGGGTTTGAATTTATGGTCTATTCTGATCATTCGTTCTTGCTTGAACTCTCTAGATAAATTTTGCATCGGATACACCTCGAGGGTGCGAGAGTCTAATAAAACCCCTCGTATTAATCCCGTTAATATAAACAGAACGAAATTGCTTTAATTCGATTGCGACGAACAAATTGACCCACAGTACGCAGACCAATTAACTATGCAAATTATTTTATTATAAAATTAATGGCTTTCGAGGCTTCACCCCGCGAGATATTTCAAAGCATCGGATCAATCAAAACGAGCTGACTGCACCGTTCTCGTATGTACTAGTGCTATTATTATTATAGATCCATTTATTTTATAATTTCGCGATGTATGCAACCCGTCATTAAAATCTGCATAACCGGTGGCATATCAAGCACGATTCAATCGGCTGAACCACAGTATCCCACCTTTCCCTCTATAAACTTCGGCTTATCGTCGATAAACAGATTTTTATAGCACACCTCAAGCCGCAAATCGTGCATGAGTTGCAAATTTTTTAGTGTCTTGGAAAATCCTCTACATCCCACTTTCGGCTGGTAATTGCACCGCTTGTTATGCCGAAGGCACGCATTGTGCGGAGGTCACGACTTAGGGATCTCGCGGTTTTTTCCCTTGATTAATTTCAAAACGGTCGACGACACAAATAAATTTGAATTTTATTCATAGCACGGAAATGAGAAAATGGAAGATCCCGATGAACGCATTCGAAATGCAAGTGTTTGGTGGGGAAGGAGAAACTAGTTTGTAATTTAGTAACGTTTCAGTAACTTTGTTTCGACAGATGCAGCGATACGCTCGGAAAATTGAATAAGAGATCTAATGTTACTTTCGTGGAGGAGGAATCGTTTGTGTAACTCCGATTAGAAGACGACGGCTGCTTTTGTTGAAATTTTAAAGCTGGTCTTGACGCGATGATTCTTGGATAAGCGAGGATTGGCGATAATGTAGTTTAACGGTTGTTGTCAACTTGAAAATAAGTTGAGAGAAAGAGTTTCTCAACTATTTTCCTACCACATGGGAAAAACCTAACAAGTTCTGCGGACTGATACCTTTTCATAAAAGTTTACGAGATATTTTAAAACTGCAAGGAATATGCTTCTGAAGTTGCCTTGTCGTTTGTTCGTCACATGGTTTCAAAATGTTATGTTAAAATTGTAGCGTCACCTGCCCGGCGCATCCACCATTTGTGTGCGCACTGGTACTTAAATCTTCTAATAAATTTTGATGTTGGATGCAACAAATCATAAGATTTTTTACTGTCATAATTATTAAAATAACATTATAAGTGGCACCTGTCTTGCGATTTGCTGTGGACATAGTTCTTCTATTCATTAATATTTGCCACTAAAACAGTTTCATAATCTTTTGCACAATTGCGTAACATGTATGATGTCCTTCGCCGTATATTTCTCACCAAGGCTCAAAAATACAATAGAAAATTGAAAATCGATCCAACAAACCCGTAGCCGTGATGCAGAATTATGAAAGTTACCTGGAAATCCTCTCGCTTTGACCACCGTACTCACCTGAAATTAAATAGCGTTTCAAACTCATCATATCTGATTCGTTAATTCCACAAAATCGGTATAAAGCTCCAAAATTACTAGAAT